ACCGATGAATAGCAAGCAATTATACTCTAGCATGCGAATTATCGTTTTTTAGAATTGTATATATACATGTGTGTGTGTGTGTGTGTGTGTGTGTGTGTGTGTGTGTGTGTGTGTGTGTGTGTGTGTGTGTGTGAGTAAACGATGCAATAATGTTCCGATTTGGCAAATAACCAAAATTGAGATCTTAAGTAAAGTTTTAATAAAATCATTTACACTAGGACCGGTTATCAGATCTTATATTTAAGACCGTCTTAAGTATATCTTAAGATGCTATATAGAAAATTTCATTGGCTACAGAGTATCTAAAGATGATCTTACGATGATCTCAAATATAAGATCTGACTAGCGCTCTATAGGTGTATGCTCGCTTTTCTTTTATTCGTCTTCCTTTCTTGTCTTGTACTTTCCTACTACCACAGTCTTTTCTTTAATTTTCTATTAGCCAATATTTCGGTAAGAAAAGTGTTTCGGGTGGGTTCTCCATTTTGCAGTTGCCATTATAGAAATTGGAAAATAGCGTAAAGAGCAAACGCGAGATCCGAAAAACCGTATGAAACTTGACGAGCGTCGAAGAGGGTGGGCCCAAGAAAAGAAACACGACATACAAAGAGAAAAAAAGGGGGCAGGAGGACGGATGTATTGGCGCGTTGGTGCACCGATGGCGATTAACTAAGGAAGAGTCCTTCGGTGCGACGTGCCGAAAACGAAACTGGTTCTCATACCGGAACGTCTTGGCGGGAAACGCCGGCCAATGAAAGCGTCGTTCCTCGCCGTTTGGAATGCTGTTCGGCGAAGATACAACAACGTTCTCTGGGAACCGGGGTTAGGACGTGGAAGCGGGGGCATTTGCATTCACCGCGAGATGCGCGCCGTATATTTCTTCCCGCGTCGCGAGATACCGGCATCCGATATCCGGTACGAGTACGTCCCGAGTTGAGAGTCTCCCGAAGTTTCGCGGGTCACTTTGCAGCTTTCCGATGTCGAGTTTTTCGTCATCACTTTCGCGACTTATCAATGACATCTCGCCCGAACGACGTCGGCGTGAGTAATAAGGACGATAACGAGGACAATGACCAGAGCATAACGAAGCAGCGGTCTACAAGCGGCTGTCTTGAAGATTTAATCAAGATCCATACGGGTCCTCGTCGCGGATTAAAGCGGGGGGAGCGATAAACTTCGTCCCCAGCTCGCGGTGTATTTTTCTACTGACAATTCGTAAAGACAATGGTGATGAAGAAAATGAACTTAATAATTTTGGGATTTTCACGAAACGTTGCTCTCGATACGGTTTCCGCGGCTTCTTCAGAACATTTTCATCGCACGAGCCGTTGATGTTGGCATCCCTACAAATAATAGCAGTTTCTTCCCGCGCTTTCAAGAGGATGGCATTACAAAGAAACGAAAGACGTTTCCTGAAAATCTCAAAACTCGTCTCCAGGTCCTTGTACGCGAGGTGTTTGATAAAGATGGTATCAAAGGGGTACGTAGTAAAAGTAAACCGAAAGTCTTGATAAGTGGTACTTTAAAAAACATTTATTTCCACGTTAAGTAAAGCATCTTCTATTGTTATAGATTATATATTAAAAAAAGCATCACCCATTCCTAATCCCTCCAAACATTTCAATACTCCCTGAAATTACTTATGAGATACTCGATGCTGCAAAATGCACCATCATACAAATTACAAAAATGCTTTAAACTCGGAAATAAATTTTTGGGAAACTACCTAATCAGACTTTTGATTTGTCTTACTATTCCTTACTACTTCTCATTATTTGTTCTTACTCCTAAATTACTCCTGAAATTTGGTAGAAACTTTTTTCACCACCACTGTACATGTCAAGAGTTCGAAGCTTTACGTAGTAAATGCTCTCTCACAGTCAACTGTTCAAATATAGCAATCGTTGAACAAATGTTCCGAACAAAATTGCAACTTAAATCTTTTTACAATTAGTATTCATTAAAAAAAATTAATTTAAAAAGAATCATTCGTAAGTTGTAGGCTTACAAATAAATCGTCGGAAGCAAGAATTTACTTTCTTTTACTTACACTAAAGTTTCTATACATACCCATACAGCACGCATGTCTAAAAAGTATCTCTAAGACGTCTTTAAGTTGTCTATCAGACATAGTAAAAGTTTAGTCGTCAACTTAACTCGTCTTTTAGATATGTATGTTAAAGACGTCTTAAAGATGTCTTGTAGACATGCGTGCTGTATGGGTATGCATTTTGTACATTGTATTTTAAATATTTGTACATGTTCTGTGCAACGAGCAAGTTACATAAGCTATTTAATTATAGTGCGAAATGCAATCTTTTTTCTTTTTTTTCTCACGAGTCGATTGATTATTCTTTTTAATGACTTTGCCGCAAAGTTAACCGACACTGACATCTCGATCTTCCCTGATTTTCCTGATTGGCTTTAGTATACGCAAACATCGTTATCGGCTCTATCTATATCGCGAGTTTTCACAACAGACCTTCTCGGAAAGGGCGGCAGTTCAAATATCTCGGTTATCGTAATACCAAGATAAAGTTTAAAGTTCGCTTCCTCTTTAATGCGGGCAACAAAAATGGCGCTCGTAGAATCAGCTGCTTCCTCGCAGTCCGGTTGGGCACGGATACAATAAACGGTTCTGTTCGATAAAAAAAGCGATAGCGACCTAAGATTCGCGATATCTAAATAACGAAATCATAGATATCCGTTAATCGACACCTACACTTTACATTCAAATCCAAGAAGAACAAAGAAAAGTTAATTTTTCTAATCAACTTAGCCTTTTAAAAATGTTCATCTTTCTTCTGATTCCTAATCATTAATGTTATTCATTAAATGTTATTCATTAAATAAAACTGTGATGTAAAACTATCCTTAGAGAATTATTTTACCATACACGAGAAGTTGAAATTATGAAACACTAGACAATTTAATGCACAAGTATCTCCCAATTAGCCCTTTTGGATAAAGAAAAGCTCGAGACCGACCTCTTCTACAATAGCTACATTTAAACAACGTAATGTTTAAAATATTTCAATGTTAATTAGCGATAAACATTGCAATTTAATTCATCGGTATGCGTTGTAAGATAATAGCAGCAACGCTAAGTAAAGAAAAGAAGAAATTGAAGAACGGATACCATGACTATTCAAACTTCAGCATCTAACCATTAAGATTTTGACCGTTAGATTACATCCATTTGAAATTCTACGTCGTAGAACGTGGAACGTGTTCTACGTTGAAGTAGACTTTCTGTCGGTCGTATACTTCTCTTCATGCCAAGATAAATAGCGGCGGTAGAATGTAGAAAGAGGAGGAGAAGCGCGGGACCAGTCGCGGGAGTAGACGAGTAGACGAGGGGGGTAGATGGTTACGGCCATCAAGAGAGGCCCTTAAAGAAACGAAGTATAAGAGGAAATAAATTCTTCGCCTGGCAACAAAGAAAACCGGTGCTTTTCCACGTCCTCCCTTAATTACGATAGCTTTTCGTGTTCCACGCGTTTGTATACCCACAACAAAACCACGAAAGTATCTCACGGAACTTCGATACGTCTTAGGTTTCTTAGTTTGTAAACGATAATTTGTCAAATCTGACGGAGAAACTAATTTATTTGGTCGTTCACATCAGTTTACGATATGTGACAATAATTAATGAGACATAGCAATCAATTATATATCTTCAACGTATACTTTCGCGAGTGCACAACGGCACGCATGATCGGTTCACGAGTTCCGTGCAGGAGACAAAGGGCATAGGTGTGGTGGTAGAAGTATCAAGTTTTTTTATCCGCCAGCGTTTCTCAAATATCCCACGTTATTTTACACCCTCCGCTCCTATCGAGGATCTGGCACGTGTAATTAAATCTGCAGGACCACCCAAAAGGACGAGTAGTAGGTATATTTCAAGGCGCTGACATCATTAAGTTACAAATATTTAGCGCGAGAAGAAAATTCAATCATTTTAATAAATAACCGCGCATTCTTAAAATTTGATACCACCCTTTCAACCCTGCGTACAGCCGATGAAAATATTTTATTCTATTTTTTTTTTAACAAAATTGAAATCTCAAAGACATGGAAAGAGAATCACTAAAGAGAGTCGCTTTGTATTTCGCTTGAAGTGTTTCAGCGTTAGGATTATCGGCACGTCTTTCGTCCGCGTGATACGAGCGGCTCCCTTTATTTCGCAGAGAGAACGTGTGCGATCGCGGGATAAAGCGGAACGTTTCCTCTTTTATAGCGTAGGGCCGTAGAACACCGGCAGGAAGCGCGGGAGGTGTAAAGGCTTAGCGACAAGGGCGCCGTCATTTCCCGCCAGATTAAAAAGAGACGTTGGAAGAGAGAAAAGGAGGAGAACGTGGGGTCGAAATGCCGTAGGCGAAGGCCAGGGCCATGTCTGGGTCCGAGACTCGGCTTAAGTACAGATGGATGTATGGCGTACCATACGAAAACGGCGATACCGACGAGGCCGCGTCTAAAGAAAGGTTTTCAGTGAAACGCGATGAATGAACCGCGAGCATGAATGGAGCCCTCGGTGGCGGTGTAACGAGCGGAAAAGCTAGGGTCAATTCTCACGCAACTGACGAACTATACGGAACGCGTTCCTACGAATTAATAAACGCGCGACTGTCTCCAATCGCGCCGAGAATACGTCCACTTTGAAGCGCCGATCAGATACCGCGGCACGTTTCGTTTCGTTTCGAAAGCATTGACGGACGACGTGTATCGGGCCGAGGGTGGACTCTTAAAGGGCAGCTGTGATAATAGCTTGCGCAGGTTTATGGTAAATAATGACGTCGTCGCTGACACTTGTCTCGGGTGTACTCTTTCTATTTCAAGTTTGAATACTTCGGTCCTTCTCTCCTAATCTTATATATTTAAGGCATTTAGAAGTAATCAGTCTAAATGGTCGCCTAAATCGACTTTGCGACAAACACGGTGAATAAATAATGTACGCAGGCGAACAATGTATCGCAAATTGATATCGATAATGGACTCACCTTTCGCTTCTCTGATCGTTGACGCGATGAGAGGTGCCGAAGGTACCTGAAACCAAAGACGGGAATACGTTAGAGCGAGATCGTGTTTCATAAGCAGCACGCAGCCTGTCGCCGAAATGGATCTTACGGGAAGATCGCGGTCTCTCGGAAGAGAGATCACAATATAAAAATCACGTCTCGCGCGCTGAAATATAGGCGGATATTCTATCTCACAAAAGGACTGGACCGGTAAACCGTGATCACCGGAAGGAACACGTGTTCTCTTTCATAGAACCGCACATGGAGCCTCATTTCCCCATTCTCGCGAATCTCCAAACCGCACGCAAGATGCGAACTGACGGGTGCCGGTCATCTCGAAGGCGCCGCGGTGAAATCACAGTCTCGCGGTCGCTCGTTCGTTTATTTGCTCGGGTGGTTGGGCTTCCTCGCGTTTCGATAACAATCGGTTCTCACCGCCACACGTACAGACGGCACCGCCGAGAGATAATGAGCAGAAATAATCGCGCTGTCCGATATTCTTGTCGTGTTCACTATCGTAGAACCACTGCCATCTGCAACTCTCCGCTCGTCCCGAGTCGCAATCTCAATGAGGTCCAAGCCGGGCAACCCCCGTGACAAGTGCATCCCAGGTATCTCGAAATCCGAGAAACGTGAAGAGGTCGCACGTGCGTGCCATGTGGAAAACGCGTGAATTGGGAAAATAGTGTTACGGACATTGAACCCGAGATGGTTCCCATCATTCATAGGGGAGGTGATGATCGGCGCCGACAAAGCGTTCGCAAATAATCCAGCGTTTTCACATATTTCCGCGTTAAAGTTCTACTAAAAACATTCCGATTATCGAATATACTGATCTCCGTGAAATATTTCGTGAGTTCGTTAATTCGTATTGACCCTCGTTACTTTCGTTCGCCGCAAGCAAAACGTGTGCAAAGTCATCCTTATCTCCCACATAATAAGACCAGTCTGCAGTTAGGCCGGAAGAATACGAGACGCGAAGGGACCGGTCGTTTAATCGTTTTATGTCGCACCAATGAAAAGACGAGGGATACGACGCGTCGAGCATCCTCGGCGACGAAACGTTAGCATGTGGCCTATATGTCTCGAATATCTTTTATTTTCTATCTCCCGTGGTTCTGCGGGGCCTTTACAATAAGCTGTGCGATCGTAATTGTTTAAATGACCATTGAATTGTTCTTCTCTTATGTGATGGCCAAATAATTTATTTAAAACAACACTAGAATGTATGCCACGAGTATAATCTTTCTACTTCACTCTTCCTCTAATTTCAGGGAGCAGTGTTGTGTCACTTCGAAAATGAACAGATGCCCCTAAAGCGGACGCTATTAATTACAAAAAGTAGAATAAGCCAGCAAGTCGACTTGACTGGAAATAAACTTCGCGTTTACATGTTTAACAATCACGGTGGATGTAATATAATATATGCAGAGAAACGATTATACCTGGTATGTAGGGGGGTCCTGGTTGAAACCCAGGTTGAGGTAATCTTTTACGCAATAAATTTTCTGTATTATTAAAAATGCCAGGTATGGTCAAGAAAATAGTGACGTTGGTAATTATTGGTGGCAACATTGAATTCTTATTAGTTGAATATGTAGAGAAAATTGTGATAATTATATATATATAGTTTATTCTACTTTTGATCCTTTTCACTCTGTATTGTTTGTCGCCGAGTGATTTTAGCCCGAATAGGATTCTTGACATGCTGCATCTCCCGGTAGGAATGCTCCCCAAATTTAGATCCTGCTAACGACGGACGAAACGCTGCTCGACAAAAGACGCGGGCTCTGCACTCAGAGTTCTCTTTCGCTGTTTCTCTCAGGAATAATCCTCGGAACCAGTCGATACTATCTTACTGCCCAACGTCTATCTTGGAAAATAAATAAGATGTATTTTTCACGGCTGAAATCAAATTGAACATCGAACCGTGAACGGATCGGATTAAAAAGAAGAAGGTATTCGACAAGGAATCGAACACAATAGGAAAATGCGACGAAGCGATAATTTAAGACAAGATCTCCACCGGATGGCAAATAGAAGCAGAAATTAGGGAAAAAGATCGCGATCCGTGTACGTGTGCCGTAACGCACTTCCGCAGGAAGTCAAAGGCATCAGCCGTGACACGCACCCTCGCGCTACTTGCTCGCGTCGAAACGTAGAATGAATTCACGACGCAAATTTCCAGGCGAGCGTAGCGCCTGAAATGGAGAACCTTGGCCTCGTAAGGTCAACGTTCAACGTATCGCTGATCTCAACGTTCCTTCTCGGTCCGCTTCCCTCACATTGACGTTCGTACCCCACTGCCCTCTCTACCTGAGTTTTCTTAGCATTGCTAAATATTTCGCGGCAGCCTGCGCTATTGATCTTGTATCACAAGAGAATTGTCACAAGAGATCAGTCAACAGTTTCGAACAGATGACGCGTTTACGTTCGTGCTCGTTAAATGCGAAGATCCTTTGCGGATTAAACTCGTGGTAGAACAACTTTACAGAGTAATTAGATTCAATTCGACCTTATTTTTCCTCAATTTTAATTCGAGACGTTGACCGACTAAAGCATTTATTTCTATCCTAGAATAAGTCATTTACGAACGGGTCGAAGAAAGGAAGAGTTAAAATTAGATAGTCAATAGTATTTTGTATTCTTTGTTATTAATCTTTAAAGCCTGGTTTCACCAACGTCGCTTAACTTTAAGCTTAGTTTCATTCGTTCTTTGTGTCTTTCCAACTATTACTTTAGAAAGAGACAAACACGAATTGAACTAAGATTAAAGCTAAACGACGTCTAGTGAAACCGGACCTAAATACTTGTAATAACGGCTGTGATAAGTTAACGTAAGTCTTCTCTTAATCATCCGACCGATGTAATCAACCTGCATTTTTCAAATTATATTATGCAATTAATATATAAATTCAATCGTGTATCTTAGCCAAGTGTTTCTATCTTGTCTTATCTGTCTCCTTAGAAAGAGACAAAGCCGCTCACTTTTAGCATTTTCACTATATTGTAAGTTAGACAATCAACTTCATGAATGCGATCATGAAGGCAGCACCCCCTTACTTATCCAACTGTTTCATCGGCAGCATGCTACTGTTACACTTAATAATAATCGCGCCGACGCGAGCACGACTTTGCTATATCAACGTAAAGTCGACTGCGCGAACGAGCCATCGGTCTCCCCCACTAATTAACGCGACATTCCCCGACGAGCAACAGGCAGCGGCTGCGGCTGCGTAACATGTGCAAGTACGCTTCAACGGTCGTGACTCCACTCCAGAGCGAAGCCACGAAAGCAAAGCGTGCACGGCAAGCAGACCAAATCATAATACTAATACCGCGCCAGAGAAAGAGAGGAAAGGAGAGAATCGGAGAGAGATAGGCGTATCGGGAACACTTCTAATTTTAGATAAACGCCTCCCGGCATCCGTTTCCTATGTGCGCGCAAACACCAGGAACACGTACCGAGCCAGCCGTTTCCCGCCAGCAGCGTGGGGCCCTCATACGAGATTAAGGATATGGATCCCGCGAGTGCGGTTAAAAATAAAGCACAGCCTGTGTGCCCCGAGAGCGAAAGAGCGGTATCCATTCTGGGACAAATTTCGTTAGCCCTCCGCGAGATCCTGCGTCTAATTCAGATCTAGACGTAGCCGACACACGTGACGATCCTGCGGAGGGAAAAAACGGGGGAGCAACTAGACATATGCAGTACGTCGACGATATCCTCAAACTGTCTACCACAAATCATTCTAAACCGTAAACGTACGTTGCAATTAGCTGAGACCCGGTTTCGCCAACGTCTCTTAACTTTGACTCTGGTTTAATTCATCCTTTATCTAAATGGACGGTTAGAAAGAGACAAAGAATTAATGAAACTAGGAGTAAAGTTAAGCGACGTTGGTGAAACCGGGCCTGAGCCCGTTGGTGTTCTTCGTCTCATCCAACTCTGCCACCAAGAGCAAATAAATAATCAGTTAACACGTTAACCGCCACGACGGTTGGCAACCACATTGATAAGATATAACATTGACCCAATTCTCGGGAGTATCTCTCTTGAACCAAATAATTTAAAATCTTGTATTTAAATCCTGACTTAGACTCGGTTTCGCCAAACGTCGCTTAACTTTAATCTTAGTTTAATTCGTGTTCGTCTCTTTCTAAAGTACAATTGAAAAGAGACAAAGAACGAAGTAAGCTAAGCTTAAAGTTAAACAACGTCGGTGAAACCGGGCCTTACAGTAGGATACTTACAACAACTGTCAGTAGATAATATCCTGTTCATTACACACGACAAAATGTTTAAGAAAGAAATATATGTAAAATAAAAAAAGTTTATCTCACAAATATTGTTATTATTTAGTCCCTCGTGAAATTACTTCTTGCAGGAAGAAGACCTTTTTCCTTTCTAAATGTGCATCGTCGTTTGATAAACGATACGCATCATAGCCATGCGTCGCAGAACGGTCGAGACGTTACATTGTCATTAACCTGCGACAAACGACGTACACTCGCTCGTAACGTACCCGCACGTGGCGTCCACGAGCCGGTTGAGCGATAACCTATCGACCCTCCCAATGCAGAATCTCGCTATTGGTGAAAGGCAGGAAGGGGGAAGTACCATGTACTCACCAGCTCCCGCTCGCTCGCAACTGGCACAAGTTACGCCGCGTCGTTGATGACAAAAGACACATTGGTGTCGTACCCGAATGCAGGCAACCGCTCGCGAAAATCGATATTACAATCAGCGTATCGAGCCGGGGAGGACTCCGTTGGGTTCGTTGACTCCCGTCTTGTCACTGGCGCACGCGGGCTTCGCGATATGTCAAAAATCGCGGCAGATACGAAAGATTCGAAATTGGCGAGCGAACGAGCGGCAAAAGAAAGCGAAGGGCTCACGCGGGGAACGGGTGAGGAAGGTCGAGAGAAACTCGATTTCCTGCAACTCTGCAACGTTCTTGTCGACCTTTCTTCTTCTCCACCTTCCGCACCCCCCCGCCTCTACTCCGGCGCGTTCGACGGGGACGGGCG